TAAGGATCTAAGAATCTAATTTACTTCATCAAGTAAAAGCTCACATTCTCCGTATTGTTGGTCTTTTGGAGGCTAAGAAATAATCTTTGAGTATTAACTTTGACAATGAAATTTTATATGCTTCTTCATCGTATCATTTCAATATCAATTCTCAAAACTGACAATTCTATTAACTCTATTATCTATTGATGTAACACTTCTCATTCTTGTAAGAGCTATTTTATTTTTATACCCTATTCATTGCGGGTTGGTTATTCGTCAGCACGGGTTTAGCTTACGATGTGTTTGGAAGCCCTCATCCAAACGAGTATTTTACAGAGAGCCGACAAGGAATTCCATTAATAACTGGCCATTTTGATTCTTTAAACTTTTGTCTAACCATCATTTTTTAATAAAGCATCTGTTCAACTTAGAATAACCCTCTAGAAGTTACGCCATGAAATAGGATATATGGATAGGAGAGATAGAAATGAGGTGCATTGTTCGTTCACATAGTCTACTTATAATCACACAAGTCTTTTTACGAAATTTATGTTCAGGTTAAGAAAGTACGCTCTTCTCCTATTATGACACTATTAGTTTCTATTCCACCATATATATAACGGGGCGAGGCAGAGCGGGTACAAAACAAGTAAATGATTAAACTCACATTTGTTTCATTTTCATTTTAGGTTTATAATTTTCTACATACGCTCGTACCATATCCTGTTAATTATGAACTTTTATTCATTCACTCTATTCTAAGTAAGTTAACGAGTCATCTATCCTAATATCTATTTCTACATGCTATTTTTAACTACAATTCCGTAAATTTTTTACCCAAGAGCGGCAAAAAAGCTTAATAAATCAACAAAAAACACAAGATCGTAGAGCAAGAATAAAAAAATTCTTTACATCAAGTCAAATGGAAGGGCATTAAAAACCTAAAGTCTCAAGCTTTTGGCTTTTCTCATGGACCACATAGCCTTATCAAGTGGCTGGCATCAAAACCTAACACTACAATCTTACCTAATGTATGGCACATGTCTAGAGAGAAAATTACCATATGCATATTTATGACATACATGTATATATCAAAATAATTTTATAAATAGTGAATTTGTATGATGTTTATTAAATTAATTTAACTTTGTATACAAATACATGTATTAATAAGTTAATTTTCGAAATGATTTTCTTGAGGATTTTTTTAGAAAAAATTAATTTATTACATACATGTAAAAATTAGATTTTTTTGGAATAAATATCGGAAATAATTAATTTAAATGCATGTATTTAATTAATTTTAGGAAATAATTAATTGCATTCATGTGTTAAACTAATTTTATAAAGTAAATTACTTTATAAAGAATTAAGTAGATGTGTGAAACATTTTTTTTTTTCGAGATTAAAAAGGGTGTCCAAATTTAATGTGATATCTTCATCTCTATCTATCATAATCTCTAATCAAACAATTCCTATATTCGAGTTAGTCAAATATGATATGATACGGAACTGATTAAGTCTTCGTATTTAATAAATCTAATATGATACTTGATTAATTAATTATTAGGGATTGATTAGTTTTACTAACACTTAAATTATATAAATATATAAATAGATTGATCATATTGACTTTTAAAATTTGATGCAGTTCGATCTCTAATATTTTTAGATGAATTCAAAATATAAAAATGATGCCGTGCATATTCCGACCCCATGTTAGAGTCTTCTTCACTTTGTTCATTGGTTTTTCCATCTAATATAATATAATATAATATAATATAATATATAAATTACAATGCTAACTTGAAGTTATATCTACAAGTAATGATACCACGCTAACTACTATATATGTAAATCATTTTAGTTTAAATGGTCACGTAATAGGGGAAGGAAAAGTTCCACCTATTGCTTGCTTATGTACATGCATATATATATATATGTGTGTGTGTGTGTGTGTAAATACCAGCATAAGTAAGAGTCATGGCAGTTGTACACATGATGAAAATGGTTTCATTGTTGTTCTTCCTTGTTTTCTCTCTAAACTCTGTAATTGCAGCATCAGCATCTTCTGACAAATTTGTGCAATGTTTTGCTTCTCATTTGCAAAACCCTAATCAGATTTCTAAGATCATCCTGGCGAAGAACACTTCTGATTATTCGTCTGTCCTGAAATCTTCCATCAGAAACCTCAGATTCTTCGACAACTCGACGCGACAACCACGGCTCATACTCACTCCGTTTCACCAATCCCATATCCAGGCCGGTGTTGTTTGCTCCAAAAAACATGGCCTGCAAGTAAGAATCCGAAGTGGAGGACACGACTACGAGGGCCTATCTTACTCATCCGATCCTGATTTTAGTAAGCATCCCTTTGTACTCTTTGATCTTGCTAATCTGAGGTCCATTAATGTTGATATAGAAAATGAGAGTGCATGGGTTGAATCTGGTGCAACGCTAGGTGAATTATATTATCATATTGCCATGAAAAGTAAAGTTTATGGATTCCCAGCTGGGAGTTGTCCTACAGTTGGTGTTGGAGGACATCTTAGTGGAGGTGGGTTCGGTACAATTTTCAGGAAATATGGTCTAGCAGCTGATAATGTTATGGATGCTAAGATAGTTGATGTGAATGGAAGAATTCTTGACAGAAAATCAATGGGGGAAGATCTTTTTTGGGCTATTAGAGGAGGTGGGGGGTCAAGTTTTGGTGTAATTTTTTCCTGGAAAATCAGATTGGTTCCAGTTCCAAACAATGTTACTGTTTTCAAGATAGGAAAAACACTTGAACAAGGAGTAACAAAGCTTCTCCAAAAATGGCAGATCATTGCTCATAAACTTCCTAAAGAACTTTTCCTTCATGCAGTCATCGAGACAGTCGATTCAGGAGGCGAAAAAACCGTCATGATTTCTTTTGATTCTTTGTTTCTTGGTGGGACTAAAGAGCTTCTTGTTCTGATACAAGATAAACTCCCCGAACTGGGTTTATCAGAATCCGATTGCAAACAGATGAATTGGATCCAATCAGTCCTTTATTTCGCTGGCTTCGAGTCTAATCACTCATTAGATATATTGCTTAACCGCACTACATCACTACAATTCTTTAAAGGTAAATCAGACTACGTAAAAGAACCCATTTCGGAAACCGGGTTGGAAGGTTTATACAAAATGGTTCTTGAAGGGAAGACAGCTTTCTTGATCTTGACACCTTATGGAGGAAGAATGCGTGAGATTTCTGAATCAGAACTTCCTTTCCCTCACCGAATAGGAAACATATATGGAATCCAGTATTTGAATTATTGGGATTATGAAGAAGAGACAGAAAAAAATATTAACTGGATGAGAAGGTTATATGATTACATGGAAAATTATGTTTCGAAAAATCCAAGAGCTGCATACCTAAATTACAGAGATCTTGATCTTGGTAAGAATAGATTTGATGGGAAAACAAGTTATGAAGAAGCAAGTGTTTGGGGATCCAAGTATTTCAAGAATAATTTCAAGAGACTTGTCCATGTTAAGACTGCTGTTGATCCTGCCAACTTTTTCAACGACGAACAAAGCCTACCAGTGTGTCCATGATCATGGAAAAAACACACAGACACACACACACACACATATATATATATATTGGAAACTTTGTTGTTAAATAATGATCTAATGTAAAGCAGAAAACCTGTTTACTTGGACTTCAATATTTAATTTGATTCATAATTCTTATCTAAACAACAATTTTTTGATACTCTTAATTAGTTAAATTAATTAATTTTAATTAATTAATTAAATTTATTTTTTAAACTAATCTAAATATAACGAAACATTATAATTTTTTTTATTAAAAATTTTAAAAATAGTGTTTGAAATTATTAAAAAAAAAAACGTGAAAATACCTCGTATATTTCCTTCTGCCTCAGGTTGTCTCGCGATACCTTTGATAGCTTAGCTCGCAACAGTACCTTCACCAACTCCAAGTCTAATAGAAGCAAAACCAACGGTGAACCCAACAGCAATAACAAAAATAGTAGAAATTAGTGGACTCATGATAAGTTTCTCGCACCAAAATAATGAAACGATTAATGACAGAACTATTTCGATATCTCGTTTTTAGTTCTTATCCACGAGGTTTTTTTGAATCCATATGTATAATATATGTGATTTTTTTTTTTCATTTCTTTTCTACGAACC